GAGATTAAATGTTACCAATTTATGCTATAATCCCATTAGTTTCTTCTTAAATGCATACTTCAGAGCTGGTCCCAACAATAAGCACTTAAGTAATAATGAAAAATAATTTATCATTATCGTATTATAAAATGATGATTGTTTTTTTGACTTAATGAAACTCGGAACTTTGCCCGCGTTCCCATGCACATACATGATGCATGCAGCAGATCTCACAAGAACCTCATATTTGAGGTTAGAGCTAGGAAGGTTTATAGGTAAAATTTGCTCCCCGGCAATTTTCATTAATGCACCAAAGCAAATTTAGACTACCATTTCTTTCTTTTTTTTTTTTTTTTTTGTCGGACTGATCCGTTCCGCTCTGCTTTAGCCGTAGCCAATTTTACTTATATTAAATCCAAAAAGGAAATTAAATTTTATAAATAAACTGTGTAAAAAATAGAAGTTTAGGACATTAATAGTAGAATCCGTAATTATAGATTATTATTTATTTATATATGCAAAACTCATTCCTATCATTTTTAATTAGTATACTAAGATCAGTTTACATTTTCCTTTTTTTCTTTCGCACATATTCAAATTTTACATCGGAATTATCCATAATTAGTCAATATTTATGTCCTCTAATTGGTCATTTCTTTTTAGTAGTTTGTATCATTCGAGAAGTAAGTTCGAATGAACGAATAAAGTGAATGAAGTAGACAAAAGGAAAAGAATGAACAAAAAGAATAAAAGGGAAAGAATAAAAAAGAAAAAGGAAAGGAAATAATGAAAAGGAAAATAAGAACGAAGCTGCTTATTAGTTTACTCCGTAATGGAAATTGTAATAACAATGACAATGGTGATAACTATTTCAACATTATTTCCTAGAATTACAAAGCAATTATGAATTAAATCTTCTGCACAAAGACATCACAAGTAGTCCACAAGGGACTGGTTCAGACTGGTCCGGTCTGGGACTGGACTTTTTAGGGACAATTTAGAACCGGTTCGAAACTAATTTAGATAAAAATCAAAAGTCATTTTTGGCATATCGAATAATATTGTCCAGATAAAAATTGAGTGCCATGTTGGCACATCAAATAGCGATAATATTTAAAATTCACGTTTATAGTTAAATCAGTCGGCGAATTTACAATTGTTTTTACCGTTACGCCATCTGTAAGTATTTATCGTACATGATATTCTAAACAAGTCTGTATTATGTATTAAACTACGTGGTAGACCAATTTCAAATAAGAATGTGAACTAGCTCTTAACTAGTTCAGGACCAGGCTTCTTGCAGACAAAGCGGAAGGATTTTTTAAAATTACAATTACATATACGGAAAATAAAAAAGATACGTGTTAACATTGATAAAGATACTTTGTATTGATTGTGCAGGCTGTGCAACATGCGCAGTCTCAGAATAAGTTTATAAAAAGCTCGACCACCTTTAACTGTACGTACGTTTTTAAAAACTTCTTCATAAGAAATAAACAAATATGGATACTTTTGACAATTTCGCTCGTGAACACGGAATGAATATTAAAGAAGGTTTTAGATATATTGCGACTAAGATTTATCAACATAATCCGTATTTTTATAAATATTATGATAATATTTTTAAAAATGAAAATCAATCGGGAATTGAAGAATTGTTTCTCAAAGCTGAAAATGCTATTATGGTTTCAGAAATTACGAATGATAATGAAGCCATTAGCTTAATTAACAAAGTCATTAGAGTTGAATATGATCAAATTAAAACCCCTATTACAATTAAAGAAGCTTTAAATTGTTTAAAGCTGCGTGATCGGGCACATTTTACTCAAGGAATTAAAGAAATTAATGATTTTAATTTCTTGAATTATAATGGAACTGAATATGCAATTAAACATGATGATGATTCAATCAATTATATTAAATTGAAACATTTTAATTTAATTAAAAACGTTGTTAAATGGCTTAATCTT